AGTCTCAACTTCTAAATGCTAACATGAGAAGACCCAAGAGCACAAAGTTACTATCATACGTGTGGAGAAAAGGAAAACCTCTCATGATATATCTCTTTAGCTGTTGTGCCAAATCTTGTTTGGATGGGTGTCTATAAACCTTCACACCTAAGAGACTTAAGAGAAGAAAGAAGGACAAAAGAGATTATTCCCAAAATAGTAAAATGAGCAGATTAGAAAAAGGATCAAGAAAAGACAGGCCATGCCTTCCTTTCTTCAAAAGGAAAATCATTTCAATATCTGAAAAAGGCTGGACTGAAAGCTACAGAAACTGGGGGCATACGACTATGAAAACAAAAACAAGTGCAACAATGTTTGGTTCATCTAGGGGTCCTGCCCTCAGCATGGAGCTTGGTATAAGGCTCCAAAATTACTTAAATGAAGCCATTCCTACATTTAGGAATTTCAATAAGACAAGCGCCTCACTTCACATAATCCTCCTCCTCCTCAAATTCCAAGTATTGTCAAAGATAGGTCTACTGATATAGGACACATCTAGAAATACAAGATATGGGGGCCTGGTGCGGTGCCTCATGCCTGTAATCCCAGTACTTTTGAAGGCCGAGGCAGGCCGATCACTTGAGATCAGGAGTTGGAGATCAGCCTGGCCAACATGGTGAAACCCCATCTCTTCTAAAAATAAACACACACACACACACACACACACACGCACACACACACACACACACACACACACACAAACTAGCTGGGTGTGGAGGGACATGTCTATAGTACCAGCTACTTGGGAGGCCGAGGCAGAAGAACTGCTTAAATCTAGGAGGTGGAGGCTGCAGGGAGCCGAGATTGCACTGCTGTATTCCAGCCTGGAAACAGAGCAAGACTCAATCTCAAAAAAAAAAAAAAAAAAAAAAAAAAAAAAAAGACATAGGGCCAGGCACCTGGCTCAGCATTTTGGAAGGCCAAGGTGGGAGGATCACTTGAGGTCAGGAGTTCAAGACCAGCTTGGCCAACATGGTGAAACCTCATCTCTACTAAAAATACAAAAATTAAACAGGTATGGTGGTGCCCCCGCTGTCGTCCCAGCTACTGGCTAGGCTGAGAAACGAGAGTACCTGGAACCCTGGAACCAGGGAGGCAGAGGTTGCACTGAGGCGAGATTGCACCACTGCACTCCAACCTGGGTGACAGAGTGAGATTATATCTCAAGAAAAAAAAGAAAGAGGCCAGGTGCGGTGGCTCAGACCTGTAATCCAAGCACTTTGGGAGGCCGAGGTGGGGCAGATCACACGGTCAAGAGTTTGAGACCAGCCTGGCCAACATGATGAAACCCATCTGTACTAAAGATACAAAAAATTAGCCGGTTGTGGCGGTGGGCGCCTGTAGTCCCAGCTACTCAGGAGGCCGAGGCAGGAGAAGAGCTTGAACTCAGGAGGCGGAGACTGCAGTGAGCCATGATTGCGCCACTGCACTCCAGCCTGGGCAACAGTGCGAGATTCCGTCTCAAAAAAAAAAAAAAAAGGAAAGGAAGGAAAGACATCAATTAGCTCATTGCAGTTCTGGGACAACTAGTTAATGGTAAAATAATGAAGACAACCTCAAAAAATTGAGGTCTACTTTGATGCAGCTCTGAAGAGCTAGCAAAGGATTCTAGGGATTTATCAGTAAGATACCCTGAAGTGACAATGGCAAAAAAAAAAAAAAAAAAAAAAAGTCCCTTTAAGGCAAAACGACTTTATGTTCAGCATTTACCTAGTCAATAACACACTGAAGTTTAACGTAACCCAAATGCCCTGAAAGACAGTAAAGAGAAAATGGCCAATTTTCTTCATGCAACTTTAATGGCACTTATTTACTCAAATTTCTGGAGCAATGAACTGTAACGTTTAAGAAACTATGAGGAGGTTAATGGAACCCCTCACCTTTCATTTCTTAACTTTCTTCCTCTATTTGTTCCTGTAACTTATTTTTTTAACTGTTCCAAAGCAATAAAAAATATGACTACTGTATTTTTTCATTAGATTTGCCCTAGAATCACAGAATGCCAGCCAGCGGCAAACACAGCGATCCCAAGATTTTTTTGTTGATTGTTTAATTGAAGACAACTGGGTACTAGCACAAGTATTAAAAGATCTCATTTCTACATCTGGCCATAGCAGCCAGTCAAAATCGCTTCTTAAATTTTCTTGCTGTGCTTGATTAATAAGACCATATTTAGTAAGATCTTCTTAAGCACAAAAGAAGAGAAGGCAAAGTTATGCTTTGTCATTCTGAATAGGAATCAAATAACATAAGGAAAACACATGCCACTTTAAGGCACACATTCAAAATGACACCCCACACATTCTACCCACTTAACCAAGACAGCCATGTCCGAATTAGTTTGTGCCAGGACAAGTTGGTACAGAATCAGCACAGATGAGCCAAAGGCTGTAATTTAGGGGCCATGTGACAATCATGCTCTTCTTCCATTAACAATGACAGAAATGCACTTGAGACACACTCTAACTGTGCTCCATTATGGAAAGCACCCAAAAATCATCTCACTGGAACAAACAAAATGTAAGATGTTCTAAGCTATCTATGACAACCTCAGCAGTGCTTACTATAAAGCAAATAGCATATTTGAACACAAAGCAAATAAGTTAATCTGTACCTAGAATATTTTAATAAAATATAAACATGACAAGCTATCAAAACAAAGACCCAAGGAACCACCGTGCAACCAAGATGTAGTTGTTGAATAGCATATTTTATCACATTAGCAAATATAGTAAAAAGAAAAAAAAATCCTCAAGATTAACAACATAATCAAATTTTAATTATATGAAAAACCAAATTCAAACATGAATCAAACAATAAAATGTTAAATGAGGGGCTTTATTATAATAACCCTAAAGACAGTTAAAGTGCAGCCTAAAAGTGTTCTGGAGTTCATCTGAACTGAAATTCCAAAGCTGGTTAACTCAGAGCAGTGAGTTAGATTAGAACCAACAGTATTTCAATCGCCTCCAGGTTTCAGGGACAGTCTGACCAGAGGGAAATAGAATGAATACTCCTGGCTCAGCCATGAACTGGTCTGATCTCTCTGCTATGGTTAAGTAGTGACTAACTCAAATGCTTACTATGTTCATTTCCTATCTTTTATCCCCACTACTCCTGCAAGGAAGCACTGCTAAACAGAGGCTCCAGGATTTATTAATATCATCCATAAAAGTGCATAAAATAAGCCAAAGAGTGTCATCTACTACTTAAGCCCCAACACTAGTCCACTCCCACCCCTAAACTCTCCTTTCCTCTCTTTTGTACCCAGTAGCCCTTTTCTGGTTTTTCTCCTCTCTTCTACCAGCAATTCCAACTGGAGATTCTCCTCTCAAACTTAACTGTGGAACACGGTTATTTCATCATCAAAATAGAATGAAAATTCAAAGTTAACTGATAATTTTTCAACCTAAAAGTTTTCTTCCTGTTATTTCTCACACCCAAGAGACTTTGATTACGACCAATGGCCAAGTAGCAAAAACATACTAACTAGCCAAAATATCTATCATGCTTTGATAGCTTAACTTTTTTTGTAAGATTGTTTGTGGTTATGATTTTAAGCTGCATTTATAAACTATCTTTCCTGCTAGGAAAAGTATTCCCAGTTCTTAAGATAGACTTGCATTTACCCACAATTCATAGCATGGCACAAATAGCTCCCTGGCATCTGGGTGTTACACCTCCCACACAGGCCACGGTATAAACTTTATTGGGGTATTTCAATTTTTAACCTAACAAAAAATGTGGAATAACAGGTTGTCTCCCTGTGGAGGAAATATCTAGAATAAACAGATGGGTGTGAGATCTGTGGAAGGAGGGAATTGTCTCTGGATACCGAAATCACAGTTTGAGTTTAGAGGCAAAGTGCTTCCCTACCCCCAACCCAGACGCAGCCTTGCTGTCACCCACGCTGGAGTGCAGTGACGCGAATCTCCGCCCACTGCTACCTCCACCTCCTGGATTCAAGCAATTTCTCCTGCCTCAGCCTCCTGAGTAGCTGGGATTACAGGCGTCCACCACCAAGCCCAGCTAACATTCTGTATTTTTAGTAGAGACGGAGTTTCACCACGTTGGCCAGGATAGTCTCGATCACTTGACCTCGTGATCCACCCGCCTCGGCCTCCCAAAGTGCTGGGATTACAGGCGTGAGCCACCGCACCTGGCCGACAAAGTGCTTTACGTGCAGGGAGAGCACAGTTTAAGACTATCTGTTGCAAAGAAAATACAAACACAAGGTAAATCAAGAGCCAAAGCAGTTTCCCCATGAGATTACCTGGACTCTACAGTCTCAGAACTACAGATTAACAAATGTAATCAATGGTACTGGGCTTTTCACAGTTTTGATGATGACAGAATGACCTCAGAGTCTAAGGGACACGATTCCCAAAGTTCTAGTTAACGTCGCAAAAAGCTAACCTAATTCTTACAGGTTCAAATATCGAGGCTGCTGGTTTGTGTAAACTGGACAAAATCCCTTCCAGGCTCTCAATTATGCCACGAGTCACGATGACAGAGGGTTCTCCTGGAATTTCTCACAAGGCCTGAGTCCCATCTGGATTGAAGTCATTTTGCAAACAGCAGCCCACCATCCTTAGGCCAAATTTAAAATCTATTTTGAATTTGCACCTTTCTGGGTGTGTTAAAGATTACAGATTATGTGCACAACGGCCTCCATGCCTTCGATATCTTTTTCTAACATGTTGTTTTTTTTACTGTCTTGCTCTCCCGACTCAAAGTCTTCCTCCTATACCAACCTACACTTCCAGTTCTATTTTGTAACGCGACAAATCAAATTCACAATAGGGGCAAACAACAATGCGGTTTGCTCAAGCAGGTTCAATCGACTGCACCACCAATTAAAAGACCACCGCGTAAACAAGGGCCACCGACCACAGGGCAGGCCCCAGGGTTCACACCACCCCCCACCCCACGGCCCAGAACAGGCTGGCCGCAGCACCCACCTCTGCAACTCCTCCTCCTGGATCCTCTCCTCATCCCACACGAAGACGCCGGAGAGCGCCGCCATCAAGGCAGAGGCATGGCCAGGGCGGCCGTGCAGCCGGCGCCAGAGGCGGGAGAGGAGGACGCGTCGGGAGCTCTCGGAGTACAGGCGTCCGTAGAGCTGTGCGATCTGCAGCGCGCGCCGCACGCGCAGGCCCGTGACGAAGCGGCACTGATTGGCCAGCAGCGCCAACAAGCCCCCGCCCCGCGCCCCCGCCAGCCAGGCGACCAGCAGCCTCCGCGGGAACATGCCGCCTCCTGCGGGGCCCGCCACAAGCCTCCGGGGCCCAAGGAAGTAGCCCGGGAGGGCGCAGGCGGTCGTCCGCAGCGTCACCCTAACTGGCCGACCACAAACCCGTCTTACGGTCCCGCGGCCAGGAGCCGCCGCTCATCTCTCTCTGCAGCCACCGCTGAGGAAGAGTCTCCTCTGAGAGGAGAGTGGGTCATGGCAGCAGACGCCAGGACGGCTCCGCGACCGCTGCACCGGGCGCTCCTGGGCTCGGGCCGCGGATCAGTAGGTTGTCTCACTCCTCAGCGACCTCCGGCGGGCGCCGGGGACCGGGATGCGGGGCGGGCGGACCGCAGCTAGGCGGACAGCTCAGGGCTGGCAGCAGGAAGGCTCCCGCGCGTTCCCTGTGTGCCACACGCGCAGCCCGCGCGCACCCTACCCTGTCTCCCCCGCCTGGGCCCTGATTGGGCACGACCCGGACTCCTGGGTGTTCATTGGAGCCGCCAAGTGCTCGTCACCGCCCCTTCAAGCTAGCTCAGAGGCCGCCTACTAGCAAGGTAGGTGGCCCGGCCGGCAGAGCCATCAAGGGCGCCCTGGAGAGTGACCCTCGGACCCACCGCCGCCGCCATTTTCCGGCCGTGCCAGCCCCGCCCCGAGGAGAAACCTGCCGGGTGCCTGTTAGAATCCTGCGAGTTGTTCACTTGTTTTAAGAGGCGGGAACGCTAGCCGCATTCTCTTAAATAAGAGTGTAGGGTGGGGGCGGGGCTCTGCGTGTCTCTGCAGAGGCTGGGGGCTCCGGGTGAAACCGCCACTGCAGAATTATAAATGAGACAGTGAAAGAGATCTGATCTAACCAGTTTCATCTTGCTTCTGTCCTCGTTCATTCCTGGGCATAGGCTAAACTAACTTTGGGAGAATTTAGTTTATAGTTTAAAACAAAGAGGAGAACAGCCCTTTCCCAAAACAAGTCTCCTTGCCTGGAGACTAGACTGCCTTTGTAGAACTAATAAATTAGCCACAAGAGTAGAAATTATGGTTTAGGAGTCATGCAGCTGGAGGCTACAAGATTCTGACCCTCCCTAAACTGCTCCTAAGATCTGTACTTGAGAAATTCTGCTGACCCTGCATGTGATGGATCAGCTGATCAATTTATTGATCACCCAGATCAATAAACTGGTTAGTCTGAACTTGTGGTCCCCACCCAGGAATCCACGAACCAAATCAGTGCAAGAGGACAGCTTCAGTTCCCTGTGAATTCATCTCCAAACCAACCAGTCAGCAGTCTGGACTCACTGGCCTTCCCCCACCCACCAGATTATCCTTAAAAACTCTGATCCCCGAATGCTCAGGGAGACTGATTTGAGTAGTGATGAAACTCTAGTCTCCCTCACAGCGGGCTCTGCGTCAGTTACTCTTTATTGCAGTTCCTCTGTCTTGAAAAATCGGTTGTCTAGGTACTGGGCAAGGTGAACCAATTGTATGGTTACAAATTCGGGGGTTCATCTGGGATAGCCCTTGCAGCTACCTGCCCACAATTCGGTAGCCCCCCTCTGGCGGCAGATCGAGAAGCCAGCCCAAGCAGCCACATAATTCTCTTGGACTAGGGGCTGACTCTGGCACCCTCTCTGCTAGTGGGGAACTGCCGACCCAATGTGCATGGACTTAATTGCAATGGAGAATGGTCTTGGGGAGACATCCCTTAACTGTAGCCATATCACAGGGTATCTGCCTGTTGCTCCATGGTGGGGTGCTGGAGCCAGGTCATAGAGTGTCTGTTTTGTCGAGTAGTGCATATCCTAGGTTCTGCCAATGCCTTCTTCTCCCCATGCAGCCCATTGGGGAGCATCTTACAAAATTTAGAATCATTTTATGGTTCCATAAAACAGAAAAGGGTGATTTTCTCTTGTAAAATGGTTTGACCCCCACAGCTATGGCACAGCGAGAAAGGTCATCTGTTCTTCCGGAAGCTGCAGAGAAAGGGAACCCGGAAACGTAGTATGCTGACAGAAAGGGTGAGAAATCCTTACCACCCAAGTTTCTGCTTTCTCTCTCTCTCTCTATGTAAATGGTAACTGTCACTGTTTGCCTCCTCTGCAAGGGTTTAATTAATAGAAAAAAAGTATCTGTGAGACTACTGTAGTAGATTTGGTGCACTTTGTGCTAAGAATTTATCTTTCTGCAGTGGAGAGAAGGGTATCAAAGGAGATACCCACTTTCTAACAGGCTCAGGAGACCATATATATATATATATAAACATGGGTTTAGGACCTCTTTAAGGCCATGTTTCAAGCCATCCCTGCAGGCTGGTTGGTTACAAACTTTGCTACAGGTCCCTGAAACCAAAAACAAATCAAATTTCTCTGTCTTGTTTTGTGTCCTTAAGAGCTTAACCTTATGACCATGTGGGGATGCTTTCTCTTGGTCTTCACCATCCAAGGACAGGAAATTTGGGGTTCATGTCATAGCCCTAAAAATTACCTCGAGCAGTTAAAAGCCTTTGCAAGTTTGAAATTGGCTGCTTCAGACTTCCGGGAAAAGCAATAGAAACTGCTCAATGCTGTGTATAACTTAGTTAACTAAGGCTTTATCTTTTGACATTGTTGACCTGAGTTCAATTCTTGGCTTCAGGAATGATGCCTTTCTGGTTTGTTCTTTGTGTAACTTTGCCATTTATTGGGGGGAAAATGGCTAGTTTCTCATTTCCTGTCTTGACTGTCTTGGATCTTCCTTTGTTTGAAACACCTTATGCGTCCATGGTTAAATTATAACCTTAGTTAAAACTTATAAATGTTTTTAAGTTACCATGTGGAAACTTACCTATGGTAGAATTCAGACACCAGAAATATTGGCTGTCCTGGCTAGAGTCTGGTAATAAGCGATTTAAAAGAGCTCTGTAGTTAAAATAAGCTTAATACCTATCTATCTATCTATCTATTATCTATCAATCTACCTAGATATCTCCCTACGCTGTACAAATATTTAAAAGGCCTTTATGTTTTTTATCTTCTTGGATCTTATTTTTCTGAAGAATAAAGAGGGTTTTTTCTTCTCTGTCAACTCAATTGTTTTTCTCCATTTTATGTTCTTGCCACTCAATGTCAGCATGAGAGAACCTAAGATAAATTCTAACAACCTGGGACTCCTGAGAAAAAGCAGAGGAGGCACCAGAAACCTGTTTTTCTCATGGAATGCCAGGAATTGAAGGAAAAAAAAAATAGATTCCTCTCAAAATCTAAGGCTCTGTTCTGTTGTGCATTGTGTTATCTAATGGCTTTTACTTTTGGGGTATCAAAAATTACTTTGCATTATGGAAGAGCTTTTAGTCTTGCTGTGTAATAACTAGGTAGGAAATATATTTTAAGGGATGGTTAATGGCAGTTATGGAGGGATATTGGGTCTTTGCATGCTTGGATCAGAGAAGCATGCTCTTGGCTACCTGGAAGAAATGGAAGCATCCCCACTCAACCCCCCACTGAGATATGAGACTCCAGTAGGGCTGACTGGCTTTAGGTTGCCTTGCAATCAAATGCATGGTAAGAGCATTGCATGATCTTCTCCCACAGTATTTCCTTCCTTTTTGTGGATCCAGGATACAGTATAAAATGGCACCCTTAATTTTGGGGATTTGTTTGCCTTCTAGCTGTGCCTGCTTATTAGGCCCTAGAAAACACAAGGTTTCCTGTTCCTCTTCCTCCAAGTGTTCCACCCTGAAGCCAGTAATCCAGTTAAGAAACTGACAAATGAAAAATCTTAACAACTACTGGATCTTCTATCTGTCTGTATATTGATATGTGTTGTGTATGTAATGTTTATATATAAAAGAAGTCTGATCAATTGGCTTAGAAAAATAGGAGCTTAAATCATATTTTATCAGAAAAAAAGTAGACACTTTAATGCCTTTTGTTCATATGACTTTAGTAATCTTTTGGAAACAGATTTTAAAATTATTGGTAAAAGAAAAATGTCTTGAATTTAGACATTTGGTCTAAACTAAGGTCAGATATCAGATTTGCTAAATGCTTTAAAGTCATAAACTGCTTCTTTGACTTTTGAAAGTTGTTCAATTTACCTACTTTGGAGCATAGATTATAGACAAGGCCTGGGGACTGTGGAGAGCCATGCTCCCTAGCTATGCTGAAAAGAGTGAGACCTTATCTGCACTTCTGTCTGATGTTCTAGGCTCCATCCCTAGTACATAATTAAAATCACTTATCAGGTTTTTCACCAAAATAAAAGTTGCTAAGAGTTAACATTGTAACATGTAATTAAGAGACTGGAGAAACAATTTTATATACAAGATTGCAAGTTATAGAAGGAAAGTAGAATGTGGTTTTGGTGGGAGATTATAAGAAGACATGGGAATATGGTTTTTGTTAAAGGTAATGTAATTTTGTCTAGTTCGGAGGGTTTTAAAGATTGTCTTAACCTAAAAGAGTAATGGGACAAAAATGAAGGTTTAAGCAAGTTGAAAAGGGTTTGCAAAGGGTTAGTCTTGCGAAAAAGTTCTGTGGGTATATGCAAGTTGGCTAAGATTTAAAGGGATTTATTTAGCTTTTTTCCATAGGTTAAAATATTAAAATAGAAGTACACTGATGCGGGGCCAGAATCTGGGCCCATGTGTCTGAATAACAGGGCTTCCTTAAAAATTGATCTGTTGGCTGCGGCTGTAATCCCACCTGCCTTAGCAGGTGGATCACTTGATGTCAGGAGTTTAAGACCAGCCTGTCCAATATGGTGAAACCCTGCCTCTACTAAAAATACAACAATTAGGCCAGGCTTGGTGGCTCATGCCTATAATCCCAGCACTTTGGGAATTGGAGGTGGGCAAATCACCTGAGGTCAGGAGTTTGAGACCGGCCTGGCCAACATGGTGAAACCTCGCCTCTACTAAAAATACAAAAATTAGCTGGGCATGGTGGCAGGCATCTGTAATCCTGGCTACTTGGGAGGCTGAGGCAGCAGAATTGCTTGAACCCAGGAGGTCGAGATTGCAGTGAGCCAAGACCCTACCACTGCACTCTAGCCTGAGTAACAGAGGGAAACTCTATCTGGAAAAAAAACCAAACAACTTTAACGGGTGCTCTTGAATGCATGTTTCAGGGAAAAAAAAAACTTTAGCTTTTAACAATTGAGTAAAATAGACTCCTGTGGACAAAGTTTGGAGCATATTTGTTTCTCTCTACCTGATTTCTCCAGAATTTGGAAGCTATTTGTGAGTATTTTCAACTTGTAGCAGTACAGTTATTTGCATAAATGCAATAAGAATCTGTTTTCTGGCCAGGTGCAGTGGCTCATGCCTGTAATCCCAGCATTTTGGGAGGTTGAGGCGGGTGGATCATGAGATGAGTTTGAGACCAGCCTGGCCAACATGGTGAAACCCCATCTTTACTAAAAATACAAAAATTAGCTGGGCATGGTGGTGGGCACCTGTAATCCCAGCTACTCAGGAGGCTAAGGCAGGAGAATCGCTTGAACTCAGGAGGGGAAGGTTGCAGTGAGCTGAGACCTCACTATTGCA